CCTATTCCAGATCCTTGTTTTGATGAAGATCCATCTACATATAGTTTCCAAGTCTGATTCTCTGGTTGCTCCGGTGTGCCCAGCACTGGTAGTTCGGTTAGGAAATCTGCCAAAACTTGAGCCTTCATGCTGACTCGGCTTTTATATTCTATATCATATTCACTTAGTTCCACTGCCCACTTCGCCAATTGTCCGGATTGTTCTGGACTATGAAGTATTGTTCGGAGCGGCTGGTTGGTTAACACTTCGATTGGATGAGATTGGAAGTATGGGCGCAGCTTCCGGGCTGAAGTTACTACCGCAAGTGCGAGTTTTTCCATCATTGTGTATCTTGTTTCTGGATCTGTCATTGACTTACTTATGTAGTAAATCGGCTTTTGCTCTCCACGGTCCTCCCGGACCAAAACTCCACTAACTGCATGTTTTGACACTGAAACATACAAATAGAGCTTCTCGTCCACCTCGGGTTTAGACAACACTGGTGGAGTGGTAAGGTATGCTTTAAGTTGTCCGAAAGCTTCTTCACACTTCTCATCCCAAAGGAAACCTTTATTTCCCTTAAGAATTTGATAAAAGGGTAGAGATTTGTCCGTTGATCTTGAAATAAATCTGTTTAGGGCTGCAATTCGACCAGTCAGACGCTGTACTTCCTTGAAGTTCTTCGGGGATGGCATGTTTAGAAAGGCATTAATTTGGTTTGGATTAGCTTCGATTCCTCTTTTTGTCACGATATAACCAAGGAACTCTCCGGATGGAACTCCGAAAGTGCACTTCGCCGGGTTCAGCTTCATTTGATATCGGTTGAGAATTTCAAAACACTCTTCCAAATGCTTAATGTGATCCTCTTTTTTCAAAGACTTAACCAGCATATCGTCTATGTAGACTTCCATTGTCTTCCCGAGATACTCATGGAACATTTTATTGACCAATCGTTGATAAGTTGCACCTGCGTTTTTTAAACCAAAAGGCATTACTTTATAACAATAAGTACCTCTGTCTGTGATGAATGACGTCTTTTCTTGGTCTTCGGGATCCATCATTATTTGATTATAACCCGAGAAAGCATCCATGAAAGTTAATAACTCATTCCCAGCGGTAGATTCTACGAGCCGGTCTATATGCGGGAGCGGAAAACTATCCTTCGGACATGCTTTATTGAGATCGGTGAAGTCGATACACACCCTGTCTTTTCCATTTTTCTTTTTGACCACGACAGTGTTTGCTACCCACTCCGGGTATTGTACTTCCCTTATAGATCCTATTTTTAATAGTTTGTCCACTTCATCATTTACAGCCTTTGCTCGCTCTACTCCGAGTTTCCTTCTCTTTTGTTTCACAGGCTTAAAACTTGGATCTACGTTCAATTTGTGGCAGATTATGCTTGGATCTATGCCAGGCATATCGGCCGCTGACCATGCAAATGACGTCTTATTTTTCCTTAGAAGTTCAATCAAAGCTTCTTTTATTTCGCCAGTCAAAGTGACTCCAATTCGGACTTTCCGATCTGGTTTGTCTTCTTCCAATGCTACTTCGATTACTACATCGTCTTCTTTTTGCCCACTAGGAAATCTTGGAATTTCCTTCTTCGCAGGTTTCGTTAATTGCTATTGGATCTTTAGTCGATGACTGGTTAGATAACACGTTCGCGAAGCTTCTTGACTTCCTCGAATTGTTTCCACTCCACTAGGAGTTGGAAATTTGATGCATTGATGATACGTCGAGGGAACTGCCTTCATTTGATAAATCCATGGAGTCCCAAGGATGATGTTGTAGGCTGCCGGTTTATCAAAAACAACAAAATCTACTATCTTTGACACGTTTTTGGCAAGAACTGGCAGCTTGATCGTCCCGAGAGACATGGCCGATTCGCTTGTGAATGCCACCAAAGGAGACGGCGGTCCTACTATGTCTGCCCGACTGATTCCCATCCTTTCCAGGGTACCTAAAAAGATTAAGTCGACCGAACTGCCCGTATCAACGAGAATTCTCGAAACTTCGAAGTTGGCAACGTCTAAGGTAATGACTAGGGCGTCATCATGAGGCCTTTCGAGGGTGACATGTTTCTTCTTCGTCAAATGATATTAACGTGCCTTGAAAGTCCATTTCTTCGCCTAAATTCGCTTTAAATAAAACATTTCGCCTATGCTTCTTTATGGCATTGATCGTATCCCGACAAAGCTTGGAACCTCCAATGATTACATTGATTTTTCCCTTCGAACTTCTAGGTTCTTCTTCGTTGGATTGCCTAGGTCTTTTTAAATTCTGATCTTTAGGGGTATCCTTTGCCTCGTGATATTCTTTCACGAAATCTTCTATCTTGAATTTAGAAAGATCTCCACTGGCCCACAGCTCTGCGAGGTGCTTCTTGAGGACACTACAGTCTTTGGTTAAGTGTCCGGTTACCTTATGGATGTCACAATACAAACTTTCGTCACGGACCCAAGTGTTCGACCTTCCTTTTCCTTGAAATTGTTTCCCGACGGTATTGTTGAGGGGTTGCGATCCGAACTTTTTAGGTCCTTGGTTCTCTCTGGGCTCAAACTTTTTGGTAGGGAAAGTGACCGCTGGTTTTGCTTGTTTGTTCCTTTTCGCAAAACTCTCTTTTTCGTCCTCTACTTCCATCCAGTTATTTGCACGGAAAAGTGCGTCTTGAATTGTGTCTGGTTTGTGAAGTATTAGGTCTTCTTTGAACCTTGAGTCATGCCATAAACCTTTTCGTAAAGCGGATAAAGCTGACTGCTGCGAGATTCTTGGGAGTTTTGACAGCACCCCTTTGATTGGTGATGAAAGTTCTAAGTGACTCATTTGGCCCTTGTGTTAGATTCCAAAGGTCAGCATCCGAAACGCTTTTATCCATGAGGATAGAATATTGTTTCAGGAATACAGCCGATAACTCGTCGAAGTTACTGATTGAGCCTGGTTCTAGCTGAGTGAACCACATTAGTGCTTGACCGCAAAGGTTTTCCGAAAAGAGTTTGCAGTATCCTGCATCTTCATCAGCTTCATCCAATTCGACTCTTCCAGCGGCAATCAGAAAAGCTGCGAGATAGCTCTTTGGGTCTTCTAGTCCACTGTACGGATCCAGTTTGAGTTTCCGAGAATCCTTGATTCTCAAATTTGCAATTCGCGGAATGAAAGGAGTTCGCCTAGCTTCCTCGATGACTCGGTTGATGTCCGGCTCCGAACTGGTGGCCTGGTGGAACTTTGACTTCATTTCTTTCAGTTCCTGGCTAACCTTCCTCATGGTTTCGAGCTGATCGAAGCTCTCTTGATCATACTGATCTACAAGCTGATCTTCATCTCCGAGCTGCGTCTCTTCTTCCACATCCGGTTGAATTGTTGGGTTAGAAGTTGTTTGTTCGTTGGTTTCATTTCGTGCACGGGAGTTCGGCGTACTGAACATGCTTCTTCGGACTCCCACAGTGTTTCCTGCACCTAGAGAACGAACACGAGTTTGAATAGTATTGACGCTTTGACCAAGAGATACCTGGGTTGTTTTAAGCGTCTCCACAGCTTTTTCCACATCCGAGAACTTCTGCGACATTTCTGTTATGGCTTGTTGCATGGTCTTGAGAGCCTCGGCTACTGACGAATCAGGGATGCTTGCTCCAGACATTGCTGCTTATCTCGGAAATGAGAGAAATCTGACAACTCAAGAATCTTCTAGATCCCCACAGGCGGCGCCAAAATGTGGATGTCGGATTCGCACACTTGAATATTTGTTTAATTAGTGGGAATGATTATTCTTGAGGACAAAAATATGATGAAAAAGCTATGAATAGGAATGACTATAGTGTATTTGCTAGAAAAATTGCGTATCTTTTACATGGCTATTAGCCCTCTTATTTATATTGACAAACGACATTTAACTCTCAATTAAACACAATTATTCTCTCTTAAATGCGTCCGTTTTGGTCTTCGAGTTTTAATGCCCAACGTTTGAATTTGAATTGATTCCGATCTTCATGGGCTTCGCCTTTTGGCCCAAGTTATCCGACTTCGATTCCGAGTCATATCCCGAGGTGTGACCACTCCGGGCTCTCTTTATGGTGACGCCCACTTCGATTATACCCTGTAAACCATGGGCCTAATGGGCCTTATCCTCTGTGGGCCTTTATCCTGATTACATGGCAATCTTTGGTTGGTCCCGGTCTACTGGTGCGGGATCCGACACCAACAGATTATATTTCGTAAAGGATTTATATGGCGGACGAATTTGAATCAATATTTATATACCGCTTTAATACGGGTTAAATCTTCAGTTTATTAATAATTGTCTCGTGGACTCGTGGTATACCGTTACTTAATAACAATCGTAAACTATAATATAAATAAATATGTTATAAGGATATACAATTTACAAAATATTTTTATACTAACTTTAAAATTAAATTATCCCGCGGTGTACCGCGGGTTAAAATCTAGTTTGCACAATAAATTTGCAGTTTTCAACATGTTGTAGATTGTAAGAACAAATTTAGACAGGTTTACTTTTCTTATATTTGAAGACATAACTCTGGAAAAGAGACACATAAAATTTATGAGCGTAGAATACGAGATATAATTAAAGTTACATGAAAAATGATTTGCTTCTATCAGGAATTTGTCTTCGGTTTATACATTGAAATAATTGCACACAGACTTGCATATCTTCTTTACCCTCTCTTCCTAAACGACCCACATTTCAACAAAAGTAATAAAGCTACTGTCTCTGGTAGTTAGTTCTACTCATTTTTGAAATACCAAAGAACAGAGTGATCACAAATGGACAAAAAGAAAAGAAAAAAATGAAAAGAACTTATGAATTACCTCTACTTTGAAACAAGTTTGATGTCGGATTACATTGAATCCAAGTCGTCGTGTAGTGGGAGCCATATCAAAAGAAAGAAAAAAATAAACTGCTTTGGAGTCTGCTGGAGAATGGTAAGAATGGATCAAGGAATTTCGTATCTCTCTGGGTGAAAAATTACAACCCGAAGATCCTTGAACCGCTCCAATTTACTCACAATACTGTTTTGTTAGTTGCTGTGCCAATAAATTGCAGATTGCTGGCTAGTCGCTTTCACTACTATGTCTATCTGAACATCCAAAAAAGGTTACAATTAGCTTTCATAAGAAATCTATAGACAGATTCTTAGTCGATTTGCAAAATAACGGGAGGGAATGTAAGTAGAGTAGGTACCTCCCGATGATCTTTTCCCTTCCATTGCGTCTTTCTTATCTTGGCAACTTGCGCAAAGGAATGGACCATCCCAGGGACGAAGCTTACGGCAATTATCTGACCCAGCATGGATCGACACACCTTCTCCAGGTTTCACTTCTACTTGACACACAGCACACATAAACAACTTAAACATATTGCAAAGCGGGTACTTTGTATCTAATCTGAAATAAACAGAAAAAAAAGAGTTGATGAAGATTAGTAGATCGAAATAAGCCTCTCAAAGTGAAAATTTTCTATATCATATTATATTCTTAAACAAGTATATTCAAGGAATCATACCTCTCTGAAAGCATAGCAGAGCCCTCTTCAAACAGTTCTTCAACTACATCAGGTTCTGCATACTCTTTCTCGATATTAGAAGAGGAGTCAGATGTTTTTCTTTTGAACATGGACTTTAGCATTCCTTTTCCTTGCTTTTTTGGAGGTGGCACGGAAGCAGCCGGTTTTTCTAGTGGCAATATATCAACAACAATACAGGTTGTATCATCACGAAGACCTTTTTTACCCACAGCTTCCTGTATGAAGTAATAAAACATCAAGGTACTACAAAGGAAAGAATATGTTATATCAGTAAATAAAAATTCAGATACTATACTTTAACGATATGCTCTGCGGAAGATTCAGGTGGCAAACCCCGGCAACAATCAAGAGCCTCCTCAGCAGATATTGCATCCCACACGCCGTCACTTGAGATGATAAGGCGACCACCAGCTGAAGACAACTACATAAGCAAAATAAATAGATACAGTTTTCAGTATAAACTCAATACATAGAATGTCAGCTAGTGCTATAACCGCACAAAGATAAAAGTTAGATTAGATTTAGTTATGAGTTTTGCACCTTGACTTGCTTTACATAAGGAACTGGAACAATGTATTCGCCAACATCCAGATCTCCAATGGATCTTGAGAGACACAGACCACCAGGCCAACATCTCAGAGGACCAATCTAAAAAAAATGATTTAGTTATTAAAACTCTTCAATTTGACGGCACAATGATATTTCCTATGTGTTACAATCTACACAGCTACCATAATTTGACAGGCTAAATGCTCATGGTTCATTAGCTAAGTATGTTACAGTTTTCATGCTACAGTCTGGCCAAAAAATCCAACTGTGAAACCTCATCTTAGAAGTTTCCATTCAGTTGCTTTTAAGTTATTATAAATTGCTAATATCAAGAGCGCATGATAACATGAGACTTAATGCACACAGAAGAAAGTATCAAGTATTATCTAAAGAAGTACCTCAGTACCACCACCAGTATTTAACCGACCAACTTCACCACCACTTGCAGTGACTCGATCTCGCCTGATAAAAAAAAGCCAAAACATTGTGATATTAATATATAGTTATATACAATCACGATTATCATCAGTTGGGTGAATAGCAGGAACAAAACTGACTTACTCTTCTTCGTTTATTTCAAGCCGATGATCAGCAGACAAATAATACACACCGCCCTCAGCAGGTTCAAGTATGCAACGAGAGTCACCTACAGATGCAACACTCACCACCCATCCTTCTACTATGACAAAAGTTACAGTCGTTCCAGACGTCCTTGCTGAAATGCAAGAAACCAATAAAACCTCAAACATAGCCTTCACCAGAATGATATAAGAATATAAATAAAGAGACAGACGAGTTCACACTTTGGACTTGAATCACATCACATGGTTTTTCATTGATAATAAAAAAAATTCGGTTACACAATTATAAAGAGTTCCTACCTCTTTCCTGGAAATCTTTATCAGTTTTCACAAATCCTGCAACCAAAGCCCTAGGAAGTGCCGCAACCCACTCATCTCTGTTAAGATCAGAGGGTATTGCAGCTAATACATTGTTCAAGAGGTTCTCCTTAGTGTAGATAGCTGCTGCAGAACCATTGTGTCCATCAAAAAGCTGCAATATACAATTCAATGTTTAACTAGAAATATCAATACCAAAGATTTAAGATGGCATGTAAATCCAATCATTACACACAATATGCGAGTAGATACAGAAATGTAATCCCTTAAAACATTTTTTAGGATGCCGTACATTGCAGGACAATTCAGATCTCAGACAAGACAAACACAAGTTCATGGACTATGTTGGCTATATTGCCATACTGCAAAAATGGCCATCATCCAATTCTCATAAGACCACAATGCAAGAAGAGGAAAAAATTACCCCAAAAACCGAGAAGGTAGTAACGCCATCTCCCATAACCCGTTGACACTCTGTTTAACAAGAGTAAAATCCTCTCCTTTCTTGCTCTGATTAGCCTGTCCGTGTATAAGTTCAGGATTGTCTATCTTTTCATTAGCTGATTCACGCTTAAGCAACACCGAAAGTGGAACTGTATGATGTTCTCCCTTAGTTGACATTGTTTCCCAAATATCCTCTAAGCTGCGTCTAGTTCTTCACCAAATCTCCCAATCATACAAAAACCTGATACACAATCAAAAAAAAAGAATCAGAACCTCTAAATTTCTGAATAATCTAAAACTCGATTTCTAAGTTAGTCAATAATTAAACCAATAACAATGTATAGGTCCAATATATACTTCTACAATTACAGTAACATTCCGATCTACATTGCGGAAACAAACTCAAAAACGATCTAGCCGAAGAAAACATCAAATCAGATCTTCAAACCAAAAGTTCAAATTCGTCGCATTATATATTCAGAATCACAATGCGTCTTCAAAACTCTCCTTCACGATAAATCCAGTTTTTAAAAAAAAAAAAAATCGAGAATGAGCACAAAAATCAAAACGCAAACGAATGATCTGGAAATGTGAAACATAGATTATTCATCAAAAGAAGCGATAAGACTCTAATCATCTAAAACTCTCGATGATGATCACATCGAGCGAAGAAACGAAACCAATGGGGGAAGATTAAGAGGAGAAGCGTTTTAACGATTCGGATTTGCAATTAGGCGGCGATTGAAGAAGATGGAAGATTATGCGAAGAGAGACGAAGGAGATGAGTCATCGTCCGATCGAAATTCCGGCGAAGTGGAGAAATGCCATGGTTTCACAGCCGTAGGAGAGAGAGAGAAGAGAGAGATTAGAGAAAACGCGCAAAGAGGAAGGTGAGGTCTCTTTCTTCTCTGTCTCTTTTTTATTTGTTTTTCTCTTTTTTTTTTATTAATAATAATAAAAAAAAACAAAATTCCGCCGTTCTCGCAGCAATAAGCACCGTTATGTGTTTTTATTCGGCGCTGATTGAAACGTTGTCGTTTTCAGGTCTCACGTGGTCGACCTGGCTTTAACATCCCCCAAATCTCGGATTATCAACACCAAAATTCAACCCCATATACGTCGACAAGTTATACATTTTTTTAGATTTAGTACTGAAAATGACTTGGATCTTGAAATGTACTATATTTTATGTTATGGTTTACAATAAATTAATTTCACATTTGTGTGTGAATTCTCACAAGAATTAGGATATTAAATAGAACTATAGATACTTGTCCTATACTTATTTTGAAAAGAAAAAAAAAATGTTTGTCATTGTGAAACCACGTAACCAGTAAAATTTTTTGTGTAACTTGTAAGTATACAGGATATCAGCTTT